TTCTCTGGTGGATTGTGGATTTGACTGTGTCTATGCTGCTTTACAAGGTCTGATTTCAAATTAATATTTTGTGTGTTATCTTTTCCTACCTCAGGACAAAAAGTTGAAAGCTGCCTCCGAGTTGATTGCCTCCTGACCCAGGGGAAAGTGACTGTGTGCTGAGACGACGAACCTTTCCAGCGAGTCTGTAGATGGAGTCTGTGCTGTGAGTTGGCCTTGACCTTCTAATGGATGCTGTGTGTGGCTGATCTACCCTCCGAGCCCTGATGGAGGAGTTGGCCTTGATAGTCTAATGGATGCTGTACACGGATATGTTAAACGGATGCTGTATGTGGATATTGTAACCTTCCAGCCCAGGTGTGGTGGGTTTTATTAGACTCGTGCTGTAAAAGTTCTGTTGGGTTGACTGCTAGATGAGCGGGCCTTCGTGCCGCTGCGGTGTGCATTTGTTGCGGAGAAGGGTAGAGTTCTGATGTGCATAGAGGTGTACGTTTTGAGTGCTTTGAGTTAATTCTTCAAGCTCTTACGAGCAGGTTTCTGTGGTACTATAATATTATCCGGCCTCCCGCGCGCCAGAAGAGTTAAAGAAGTTCATGTGTGTGGATCATGTTGCAGTGAGCCAGAATCAAGGGTCACTAGCACACTAGTCTCGTCTCCTGTGTACCCACAAAGATGGTGCACTGCAAGATGGTTAGTTTCACCTCTCTATTCGAGATACATAACGTTATCACTCCTCTATTCGAGATAGCCGACGTTACATCCTCAAAGGTGCTGGTGGCAACATCTCCATTATAGCTCCCTAGATATCATTTAGAGGAGGGAGGGACATATTTTGAATATCAAGAGTTTGAGGATCAAAGATTGTCTTTAAGGAAATTTTACTTTAGATATGAAGCAAAACGTTTAGAGTGACAGCTACTGAAATGCGTGTTGATTTTGTTCACAATATTTTAATTTTTTGAGAGAGCGGGTAGTCTTGTAGCAAATGTACTGTGGATGGTGCACTGGTGCCGAGGGCTCACATGGGTGTTCAGCTCATCTGCTTTTCGGAGACCTAATAGGAGCCTATATCGCGACCTCAGTGCTTTCTTGTCGTGTGTCCATTTTTTTTTAAACAGTGAAAACGGTTCATATCAAAGAGTGAGCTTAAGAAGAAGTCACATTTTTCAATGTTTAAAAAAATGGAGATACGACTAGAAAGCGCTGAGGTCGTGATATTGTGTCTGCTCAAGACAAGACTACTAAAAAAAACTTTATATCGGTTAGACAGCTGTTGTCGTTCCCTGTTTGATGTGTCGCCTTTATGAAATGTGTGCTTGAGCGTCTTAAAGCCAGAAGGAAAGGGAAAAAAATGCTTTAGGGCAGGTTGGGCGAATCTTACCCCTTGTATTTCTGGCGAGCATAATTATGTGTGTTACCTGGATTTTGTTTTCTGTGTTAACTTGTTGTGTGTGCTCGTGAAATGTACACTGAAAAGCTTATGATTGACAACTATGCGGTATGGTTTAATCCTTCAGCGTAGAGAGTGGGTTGTGTAGAACTGTTTTTTTCCTAGTGTTTAGTCGTTCAGTATTGTTTTGTTTTTTCCCCCAGCCCTTTTGGAAACTGGTTTGACCCTCTGGGGGGTAAGATAAAAGTGTGTGGGGAAGAGATGTGTGTGTAGTTACAGTAGCCTTCTCGTGACACGAGAACTTTCAGCATGCTCAAAATTCAGGCTAACATACTCCTCCCCATTATTCTTCACAATCGTGGTCGGCTTACACCAATGAAATTTCTGAGAACCATGCATACATAGTGTTAGTACTAAAGGCAGGATTTGTATTTATATATATAGATGGATTTATATGTCGCAGAATTATCAAGAAAACAGTGTTGTTGGATTTTTGGAACTTTTTATGCAGTTGCCAGTAGTCTAAATAAAAGGCAGTTTGCTCGTGTGTGTATGTAGATAACGTATTACCCCTTTATTACACACGTCTTTGTATAAAATGTTTTTTGAGTGCGAGTTGATTGAATATTGCCTGTTTCTTTTGTCGTGGAATGACTGCTGGTGTTTGTGTCTGGTGTGTGTGTGTCTCATGTCATGACTTGTGTCTGATGAGTGTCATGACTGGCCTCAATGTGGGCGCTCGCTGCAACAAACATTACCTCGAAGATGTCCATGGTGTTCAGGAAGCTTTATTTTTCTATCTCTGCACACACACACTGCCCGTGTTGCTGTGGTTGTTATTGTAGTTTATACTTTTTTATGTGTGTGTGGGGGGGGGGGTTCTGATGTCGGTGGTTTGGATGAGGGTACTGCCGAGTCCTTTCTTCTTTCCTTTCTGTCTATTTTCTAAAATATTGCTTGCTTTTTCCCTGTCACTAAATAATACTCTTTTGTTTTTCTCAAACATCATGCACTCCCAGACTTTGATTCTCTGAAGATATAGAAATTTTTCTTCTGGGGTATTTTCTGTCTGTCTTAGGAATCTGTTTTTTAAACTGTTCACGCTGTTTTAGGTTCCCAATAAAATATTTTCCAAAAACGCGGTCGATCGTCAATGAAAGAGGAATCGAGAGCGTCTTCTTATGACGTGAACATTGCTCTTTCCCCATTTTCCAACATGGTTTTGGCGCTCATATGACCTTATACAGTTCCGAGTGTCGTAAAACCTCTACTAAAACTAAAAAACTAACAACATGGTTTTAATTGGTCAGAGCAATAGAATTTCTTTGAAGCTTTCCACTTTTTGTAAGCAGGATTATTTCGTTTCATCTTTAGACTTTAGAGGTTCGTCGAGGCGTTCGGTTGTCTCCGGCGTGAGTTGTGGTAGGATGAGAATGACGTGATGGAACATTTGAGCAGATATTTTATTTCCTACCCGGAAAGCTTTTCGTCCATTCCTTTCTTGTGTCTGTGTGACATGTGAAGGTGGTTTATGCTGTGTGATGTGATGTATGCTGTAGATCGAGTGGATAGCATTTCTGAAATGTGGATTGGGTTTGTTTACTTTTACATTTGTTTTCAGGGTTGTTTTGGGTTTGTTTGTTGTTGTTTTTTTGTATTGTTTTGGGGTTGGGTTTGGGTTTTTTTTTGGGTTTTTTTTGGGGGGGGGGGTATTTGAAGTGAATTGCTGTTTGAACCTGATGAAATTCAGAGATAATGTTGTGATTTATGTTGTTTTTGGTTTTTTCTCAATTTTTTGCTTAGCCGTTTTTTCTAAGCAAAGTTTTTCCTGTTTTGTACACAAAGTTTCCTCCTGCTGAAGTCACCGCTGTGGACATCTCCAACATCTCTCCTTGTCTGTCTGTACATACAACACAACACAGCAACTCTCTGTCTGTCGTCTCGCGGCGTTTGTACAAAGACACTGGATTGAGCCGCTTGACTCAGAAACTTGTCACCCACCATCTCTACATTCTCTCATTCTCCCATTCTTCCATTCTTTCATTCTCTCGTTATCTATCGTCCTGATCTCTCCTCCTTTTTTTGTGTTTGTTACTCGCTCGTAACACCTCTAATCTTCGGCACTTATATGACGTTATTGTGTTGCAAGTACCGTAAAACTCTTACTAAAATAAACATTCTCTCATTCTATCTCTGGTTCTCAGTGATGTATGTACATGATGAAAAGTGCTCTCCCATCGTTCAGATTTGTAGTTCTCATCATCAACCATTTGTGTTAAGACATTTGTTTCGTATAATTTATTACTGGTGTTGGCTGAGAGGGCCGCGTGGCGTCGTGTGGCGATGCTTCTCATGAATAGCGCCAAAATTAAATTGCTTCATACCTGTTGATTGTGTTGGTGTGTCTGTCATTTGGTGTCGTTGGATGTGCGTGTGCTGTGTTGGTGTTTGTGAGGCAGCGTGGTGGAATCAGGCTCTCGTCAATTTTTGCAATTGTCTCATATTCTATTCTGTCTGATATTGATGTGGTGCTGGGAATGGATGCTATAAACAGCCTGGGAGGAGTTTCAGTCAACCATGGTACAGTTGAGTTTGGTGTCAAATGCTGTGGGGCCGCGGAAATGGAAACTGAATCTGATCCCCCAGACCAGGCAAAGGGGAACGTGAAGCGAGCAGAGAGCGCTGTTTACGGACGCAGCGAGGTTGAGGTTATTGACGACAGTGATTTTAAGGCAGTTTTTTATAGCAATACATGGACAGTAGAGTGGAAATGGGAAAGGGATCCTCCCCACTTCAAGAATAAGATCGGATGTTACGATAAACAGATGGATATGGAGACTAAGGAAGGGTTTGAGAAAGAGATATGAAGTTGGATAGAGGAAGGAATACTTTTACCACGGAATGAGAAAGTAGAAATAGGCATAATTCCGCTGATGGCTGTTGTTCTACCTACAAATGTACCAAGAACAAGGTAAGACCTGTCCTTGACCACAGAGAGCTCATATGTTAGTAGTCACACGGGGGGTGACTTCACGGATGTATGCGGCGAGACATTGCGAGAGTGGAGACAGACGACAGGTGCAGCAACGATTGTCGACCTGAAATGTGCTTACCTTCAAATTCGTGTGTCACAAGATCTATGGAAATATCAACTAGGGAATTACGAAGGTAAAACATATTGCCTGACAAGACTTGGATTCGGTCTTACATCGGCACCCCACATCATGACGAAGATCTTGAAAACGGTATTGAGTAAGGATGAAAAGATAGACTCTGCCACGCAGTCCTACATTGATGACATTCTGCTGGATGAGAGCAAGGTAATATCTGCTGCACTGGTGAAGCACCTGGGCAACTATGGGTTGACAACGAAAGAACCAGAGCCATTGGATGGTGGCGCGGCATTGGGTTTGAAGTTGAAATCTGATTCGCAGAAGATCTCATAATTCCCAGAGCCAACAGGATTCCCCACGCAGTGTCTAAAGTCACCAAACGGGAGTTGTTCTCGATGTGCAGAAAACTCACAGGTCATTATCCTGTTGCTGGATGGTTAAGAATAGCATGCAGCTACAGAAAGAGAAGGGTAAATGGTACCGATTGGGAGGAGATTGTAGACGATGAAGTGGAGAAAATGTTGAAGGAAATATTGAGCCGCTTGAGTAATGAGGATCCTGTCAAAGGAAAATTATAGGCTACGTGTCTAAAGAAACCAAATGGGTGTTTGGCGGGTACTCTGGTGTGGTATGGTCTTTCTTTCCTATCAAACATCTATCGTCCTTATCTCCCCTTCTTCTTTTTGTGTTTGTTACTCTCTTGTAACACCTAGTCTTCGGCACTTATAGGATCTTATTGTGTTGCAAGTGGCGTAAAACGCTTACTAAAACTAAAACACACAAAAAAACTCACAAACTGACAAGATCTTTGTTGTATATAGTCGGATACATTTGTACCCATTCCCACTCATGTGAAGTGAGGAAATTTTTGTGTGAAATGCCTTTCCTAATGACACAATGTCAGGTCCCTGACGGGATTCGAATCCACAACTTAACGATCGTCAGTCCGAGAGCTTAACCACTATGCCACCGACGTAACAAATCTGCGGTATTATATAAAAATAAAAGGACTGTGCTCATGACCAAAAAAAATACTTATAATAAATACGGAATAAAGAGACTTTGTTGGGGACCAGCCTGTCGGCTCGCATTGCAGAAGTTGAAGAAAATCATTTTACACATGGGTAGTAACTCAATTTACTAATACATACTTTAATCATTGCTGTTATGTCCCTTGCCACAAGTGTACTGATGAGGTGGGTGAGCTCAGTATTCATGTCGTAGCCTTTTTACCGGGAGTTCCCAAAGCTCATATCTCAATCTCATACTTACTAAACAGGACATCATTTCCCGCTACTATAAATGGTCGCTTTTAAGCACAAGGGGGTTATCCCGAAAAAAAAAACACTGTTTAGAGAAAATCGTAAGTGAAGTTTTTTCCCCTTGTTCAGTTTCTTTAAAAGATAGGAGAGTTTTTTCTCTGTAACTAAAAAAATATGCACACCAATGAAACCAAACTTCTCCTATAGGTAGGGCAATGCCCATTTTTGGTGTAGGTCAAGATTTCTGGAAACCCCCGAAATCTGGGTTGGCCCGCTTGTCCTTATAAACGACCAAATAAAGTTTGAACGTGCTGTAGCTACTGTTAGAGCCTGTGATGAATTTGACAAGCACGGAGTATCTTCAAGGCTTTGTTGGTAATGTAAAATAACCTGGTTTGTATCGCGCTCTCAACCATCTTTCTTTCTCTCTTTCTCCCCCACCCCCTCTCTCTCTCTCTCTCTCTCTATCTATCTATCT